TAGGACTTCTTGTCGGAACTTCGATAAATCCGGCTTCTTTTGTTATTTTATCAAATAGGAGATGTAATTCTTGGGTTGATTCAGGGAAAAAATTTGAAATAACATCATTAATTTGGTGTGACCCTGAAAATATCATTTCATTATGTATAAAATTAATCCCAAAAAATATTTTATCTCAAAAGTTATTTATTCAAGTTTTATTATTTCAAATAAGTAGGTATTAAACTATTTATACTGTTTGTATAAATATTTGAATATACCTACTGTATGTTTTTAATTTTCGTTTTTTATCTTACTATATTCCATATTCTATAATATTATTTAATATACAAATGTATTACATTCTAAWTTATTAGTGCTGGATTCCGAACATATAAACGAAGACGACTCTATGGTGCTGGATTTTTGTAGTATATTATCTAGTGGAATGAGTAATTTCTTTATATCATTTATTTGTGTTGAATTTGTATCCCAGAGTATATTTAATGAGTTTAGACCCTTTGATTTGAGCTCAGCACAAATATGTTCTCCTTTACTTGAAATACATATCAACCAAGTTGTTTTGGTTTTCTTTGGAAGGTCTTCAAAAGCATTCCGCAAATTATTAATTATGTTATCATCATGCTAAAAAAAAAAAAAAAATACAGAGTATAATAAGTATTATTTACTTTAAAAAGTGCATATATATCAATACAGTGTACCTGATTAACAATAAACAAAGAACCTAAAACACTGAAAGACGCTAAACGGGTTAACCACTCGAGAGATTTCTTTTTTGTTTTTAAGTATAAAAACGATTCTATTTGTACTGATATATTTCGGGATATCAATTTAGCAAACCTGTTAAAAAATAATTTAAAATAAATTATATAACCGTAAAACAGAATTATTTTATGATTTAAAACCTGTTTTTATAGGTTGTTGATGACATTAAACAGCAGTCAACAACGATTACAATTTTCTGAGCTCCTCGGTCTACCAGCCATTCAGTGACATCCAACCAATCAGATTTATTTCCTAAAATAATAAATCATGTATTAAACAAGTATTTTATATTTAAAACATTCAAAAGCGAAATTATTACCAACTACTACATAAACATGATCGGGGTGAAATTGATATGAATCATGTTCAAAAAAAATTTTGGAATTCACAACGTCATCATTTACAGAAAGTACAATTTTATTCGAAGTGGCCAAAGCATTTCTATATAATATGAATAAAGGATTATTTATAAAGGTAATAACTTGAATATGAGTTCAGTTAAATTTACCTCATATCATTTAAAATAGGTTCAATACTAAATGGTGGTGTTAAAATGTAACTATTGAAAGGTTTAATCACACCTTTATTTAATCCGTCCATGAATGCTTGTTGTACAAGTTGTTTATTTTCAATACATTCATTTAACAACACGTCTGAACCGACAGCAAAAAATGATATRTCTTGCAAGAATATTCGAATACCTTAATATAAAGAATTTTTTTTTTAAAAACAATATCGTTTGTGAAATAAAGATAACAGATGAAATGTTATATTAGAAAATTACCCATATATTTTTGATTTTTCATGTCTGAATTTGAAAAACTGAAGAGCTTTCCATGTTTAGCAACCGCACGAGTAGCAGCGTAAAATGATTCACCACTAAAAAAGTTCAATATAATATCTACACCCTTGGACTTGGTTATCATTTTTAGTTGAACATCAAACTTGTT